CTGTGAATTTCTGGTTTGTTGATAACAAGACGTCAACAGAAATCACAAACGAATTTCAGTTTTTTATGATGGTTGACGATAAAATTCCGAATGATAATAAGATGAGAAAAATGACTCTATCCATCCGAGTCGAAGGTTAGTTCGACTTCCATGTATCAGATGTCTCAACGATCAACTGAATGTTGCAGTGCAGGTATGAAACAATATGGAGAATGGGAAATCGGCGAGGTTCTTGAGAAGGTGCTCTCTGTGAAAGGTCAAAGTCTAGACGATGTTCCCCAATTCGATATAGGTAACCAGTTTCTAGAAAGCAATCATTTATGTCACAATATTCTCATGCAAATCACGTTGCAGATAAATTAGGTGAACCAAACCCAGATTCTGAAGAAGACGCGATCAACATACTCGTTGGTGAGCTTACGAAAAAGTTGAAGAGCTTCCAATCAATTAAACGGAATGAATCTACAGCTCGAGAATTTATCTCCCCCTTCTTGACAACAGCCGTAAGTTTGGTCCGAGATGAGGAAGACACCCTTATACTCAAGTCTGAAGAACCTCTTCATGGAAGCCGTGCGTATGGCATACTAGATTACTGTATCTATGCTAGGGATGCAGTAATTTTGGTCAGTGAAGCTCAAAATGAACAATTCAATAAAGGGGTTGCTCAAAATGTCATGCAGATGCTCAGCGCTGTGGAAGTAAGTGAAGTAATGTCAACTTTCCATTGCCACTCTTTTCATGAGATATTTTCTTTACAATATGTCATTAGAATTTAAAAAGAAAACGCATGATAGATGATGTAGATGAAGGCCAAGAAGTTCCTGTCGTCATGTATGGCATAGTGACAAATGCATTGTCTTGGTATTTTTTTCGGTGGGGTGGTGATGAGAAAAATCCTTCATTAGAGCGCTCTGTTGAGGTGCATTGTGAATTTGAGCTCCCAGACATGGGATCAGCAAAGCGGATCCTTCGAATTATTATGCGTATTCTTCAAGACCAAATTCATGGTCTGAAGAACAGCAGTGAACGTAGACGAATCAAAAGACAGCGTCACAGCTGACTACAAGGACCCCGGTTCTACCTTAGACGACTTTTTTACTTTTTCTCCTCATTATATTCTTGTTTCCCTGCCTGCAATTATGATTATGATCACTTTAGTATACTTCTAGCATGTAGTTTGTTTCCCTCTTTTCCTTGTTTAGCAATGTTGTTCAGAGTCTCCAAGTTTTATTGCTTTTTTGCTTATATTGCATCTGCATAGTATGCTGCATTCATATCATTCTCTATCAGCTCTATCAGATGGTGTCAGGTAATGAATGATTACTGATGTATCAATTTCATATGATAATAATAAATGATACCTCACAGATTACTT